TTATCCAGAAAGAAAATGAAGAAAAAATAGAAATATGCTGTACCTAAGAAAATATTTTTAGAAACATGGGTAAACTTCAGAGCAGCTTGAGTAAATTCATACATACATGTACCTATTTTGAATATGAATTTCTAATATTTTAATTTGATCTAAGCCCTCAACTTCCAATACGCCCATACTTTGTCACTTATACAAGCTAAAATACACAACTGTCTCTTTAAGTGCAAATTGGATATCTACAAAATAGGTATACCCGGTATGCATATTGTGATGTATTTTCAAGTATAAAAAAAATTCAAAGGAATACATGGATGCCTAAGAGCATTCACAGAGTATACTCATCATACTTAAATTACATTCTTGAGTTATATACGACTTCATTCACTACCTACTTTTCCAATGGCACTAGAAGATGAGAATTGATGATAACAGCAATACAGTTGCATAATATTACATGCAATGAGGCTGCAGAAGAGGTGTTCAAACACCTGCAGGGGAAGGCTTGTTCCTTACTAATTAGTCTGCTGGGAGATGAAGAGGCATTACCTTATTTATTTGAACAGGGGAGTAGTAACACCCTTCTCACTCTCAACACATAGTATGGTACAAAAGATGTATAAAAATAGACAATTTATCTTTAACAGTTCATAGAGTAGAAAGAGTAGCATACATGCAAGTTATGTCGTTCTTTGTGATGCATAATATTTTGTTGGCATCATCATGAATCAACAAATCCGTACAGTACTATATATGACAGATTCTTTGAATTATCGCAAAGAATTGTTCATCATCAAAAAGAGTTTTCAATTTCATCGACATGGTTTATATCTGATATGTGTTTTATGGATTCAATTTAAAAAAAATATATATCTTCAACACATCTCTTGCTAATTTTTGTTTAAACGACTGTGAATATGTCGGAATCATACCTCCCCCTTCATTTTCATATGACTTGTCTAGTTATACATGTCAACCATGTCTCTCATTTATCTTTATCATTAACTTCTATGAGTACAAATAAATCTTATGTATTTCCATGCCTCTCAATCATATATTTCAGCAACACTACATTCTTGAATATGTGTCTCGCATATTAATTTATACAAGCCACTAGTACAAAAATGAAGCATTTTCGACGACTAGGTAGGAGTAAATTTCACCCACAAATTTAGGGTCAAGTTAACATTGTTATTGATTACGCTGCAACCCCTTATGTAATTTAATTAATAAACCCCCGCAGACTGGCAGCATACATGTTAAATGGTCTGCGCAATGGAAGGGGGTAGCCGAGGCGGGGTCCTGGGAAATCGATGCTAATTTGACGGTGATTGCCCTGGTATGAGACGACCGGGCCCAATCGAAATCACCGCGAGGAGCGAGCTGAAGAGGACTCCCATCTGCTACAATAATGTCAACAAATTGCAAGGATAAATACAAGCATACCGGTACTCTCCCTGACTCAACTATTTACCTTGTGAATAATGTTCACATACTTGTTGGTTATATATTTTTTCAAGAAATACATTCATGTTCAAAGCTCAAAAGGATGAATGATTGAGGTTTTCTGTTTGCACGAAAGGACTTTTACGGACTACATGGCCTGCAAATTCATGTACCAAGCTCAGTGAATGTTTATCTGGGTTTACATATCATTGATAAGAGAAAGATTTTGTTTCGTTCCCAAAATAAATTCAACATGACCTTTATTAAACAAAAATCCTCTCGCATTAAGTAATGTCAGCCATGTTTTGGGGAATAGTGGACTAAAACCATAGAGATATATATTAGTAGTATATAGCTCTATGACTACAACAAAACACTCTCCCATCATGCAGTTCTATTCATTACAGAAGTAGTGCACTGCATCATTAATTGAGTATCGCCAACTGCTCTTCAGAAGCATCCATGGTATGCTATGCAAACAACACGACTTGTAAGCAACTGGACATGGGGCTTCAGTGGAGGCACGCAAGATTAGCAGTGACAACTTGGCATACAATGCCCAGGCTCTCTACAAGAGATCAACTCCTGTGCATTTGCTACAATCGCGTGTGGGATATATATAAGATCAATCGTCTTGTCACCTTTCCATATATCTTCATTTAAATGCAAAGCACTAGGCAAATAGCCACCGCTTATTCTTTAAAAAAAGCATGCACCAAGAATTGTCAGAAACTGAACTTCAGAGCAGGCATGAAAGATCAGGACTGACAACTTGCACTTGAGGCCTACTACAAGGGATCAAATCCTACATACATACATTTATTACATTCAAGCATCGGTTATATGAGAAGGAGGGAACATCTTGAATGCATATATAAATCTGCAAATGCATATTATTATGAATATGGTTTAAATGTCAAACTCAAAGTAATATCTTAATGACTGGCATGTACGTACATCTCCTCTTTAAATTGGTGCCCTGTACAACAGTGTAAAATTAGGACCATTCACAAACAAGAAAGAGTAAAATTTAAACAATAACACAAATATATCTGTCTTCAAGCTTTTATGACATATTGGCTGCCTGCAAGAAGGCTGTATTGCCAATGATAGTATAGTGGGAAAGCGACGATGTATAAGATGATGTATAAGATTTTCCTATCTCACTTCCAAACTAAAACATGAAATGCCCATTGATGTACAATGATGTATAGGCCCCCTACCCCTAAGATTTTCCTTACTCAATTAAAAAGACTAAAATATGAAATGCTCATTGATGTATGATGATGTAAAGATCCCCCCCCCCAGATTTTCCTAACTCAATTCCAAAGACTATAACCTGAAATGCCCATTGATGTACAATGATGTATAGGCCCTCTACCCCTAAGATTTTCCTTACTCAATTAAAAAGACTATAACATGAAATGCTCATTGATGTAAAGATCCCTCCCCCCCCCCCAGATTTTCCTAACTCAATTCCAAAGACTATAACCTGAAATACCCATTGATGTACGATGATGTATAGGCCACCCCTCCCCCCTTAAGATTGTCCTAACTCAATTCCAAAGACTTAAACCTGAAATGCCCATTGATGTAAGATGATGTATACAATTTTCCTTTCTCGCACCCACAGACTAAAACATTTAATGGCCATTTAAATGAACTGAATTCCTTTACAAATTAAAACAATATCCATATATAGAAATGACCGTAGTTTAGGTTTGCACACAGCAGAATGATGCAGAGAGCTTGTAATCCCTTAATATGACCAATTCAACGAGCTGTCAAACAAACACGAGAAACAGTTGTACACAATCATGACCATAGATTATGAGCTACAGATACAAGTGCGATCTGTCACTCAATGCAGGAATGCATACCGATGAGACCAATAAGAGAGTGTGTGAGAGAGAGAAAGAGAGAGAGAGAGAGAGAGAGAGAGAGAGAGAGAAAGAAAGAGAGAGAGAGAGAGAGACAAAGAGAGCAAGAGAAAGAGAGAGAGAGAGAGAGAGAAAGAGAGAGAAAAAGAGAGAGAGAGAGAGAGATTGGAAGTGAAAATCAGGACGTCAATCTATGCTCCATCTTGTTCATTTTGACCATTTTTATGAGGTCAATGTTTTTAGATTGAATCTTTCTTGTTTAGATTAAAAATTACCCCATTCAAATGGATAATTGTGTTTTTCATTTGCAGCCGCACTGATCTATTATTCAACATTTATTGAACGCAGTCCTATAATGAGATAATAACTGCAGCTGATCCTTGCAGAGGTAGATTAGATTACATTTTCATCTACTTGTAATTACAGGCCAAATATGAAAAGCTTCTCAAAAATAAAAACTGAAACTGAATAATAACTAGAACAATGAATCTTGGTGATTGCAGTTTAATTTCCTTTCAAACTAAGTGATATTACATCTCTTTAAAAACAAGACTGGATATAAGTAGGACTCCCCCTATAATAATAAAAAGGCAGTACATGAAAGCATATTAATTTTTATTAAAGTATCATAAAATCACAAAAGGTACTTCATGTATAACCTCATTGTTTCTATTAAATCTAAACAGAATTACAATATTTCAGAACTACAATGTTTATATATGTTATCTTATTTTCTCCATAAAGCATAAAGCTTACTTCTGACATGCAATGCTGTTTCACTATTTGAAATATGATTTCTTATATTCTCCATATTAATACAATACTAGAATCAAAGTTAGGAGAGCTAAAAATATATTGTTTTGTGATCAAGAGAAGGAAGGGCATCATCTTGTATCATTTTACACAGAGTTAACGCCCTTCTGGCTCTCGACGGACGACATGTTGTAGGGTAACCCAGACATTGCAAAGTTCAATAAAAGCATCCAGTTTCATTTCAGTCTGGATCAGTATACGTGTACGTATGGCAAGGTCAAAGGTGTTGGGTATCAGGCATGCATGCCTGGTATTCTAAATCAGGCTGCTCGCTCCTCATAGCATGCATTTATACAATAAGTATGGAGTACTTGTGATGTTGGACGCGCAAGTATTCAGGTATTCTTAGCAGTCAGCATGGGTGGATGTGTTGGTGTTTATGCATGAAGAATGGTAATGACGTAGAAAAAACTTCTATATGTACCGGTAGTGGATATATATTCTGGATTAAACACTGTTTTGTGTTGATTTCATATGTTCCAATGTAACAAATACTAACATATAGTTTTGCTGGAAGTAAAATAACTGTTGTCTCTTTTCAAGCATGTAAATCCTTTTTTTTCCCCCTTCCTATTATGAAAATTATTCATAAATTAGCAGAAAATACACTGATAATATGAAGCTGACTTACTGTACTATGAATATGGAGAACACCTTACATGTGTGACACCAATATGCATGCTGTCAATTCAAAAAGTATGTTTATGTTAAAAATGCATGTACATGTATTCAATAACTTCCTGATACATAGTCGCCTTCGTTCAGACCTATATATTTCAATATTTTTTAATATGAATAGACAATGCTTCAGTATAAAATGGTTGAATATACTTTAAACAATAATATGCCTTTAATCCATCTCACCTGTAAACAGCACTGTCTTGTTCTTCTTCTGTTTCTTCTTCAGAAATTTCTTCTTTGCCCTGGGGCCCATTTTGGTATCGGCCGCAAGCCCCTCCTTTGCTTCGACCGTGTCCTCTTTGATGTCAAAGAATCATGTTCATGTACATTGAAAACACACAATTAATTTTGTTTACAAAAGCGAAAATGTGTTTGCAAATTTGTGATATCATCATGAAAATGATAAGTGTTGATGAGCTTTTAGTTTATTCCTCCACCACTGGGATTAGTGATTTATTATGCTTTTGTATATGGATGACCGAGGATAGAGCACATATTCTGGTCGTGTTTATATCTCTGTAAAGTCTCTTGGCTACTTGGCTATGAAACCTAACACAAATGCAAGCACACAAGTACTAACAATCATCTAGACTAACTGATAACACTCCCTTAATTTATCTCTTTTATCAAAATTCATACAATCATTTTACCAATATATTTTCTTCATCTTATTTTAAAAAGATATTTCAGCAGTCTTCAGCTATTTATTAAAATCAGTAAAAATCATATGGATGTTCAATCACTTTTCACCAAGTTGTGAACTCACGCCAGAACTGTGCTTTATCCAATGAAGTGTTACAAGTCAATTGCTGTACCAGTATTAGTTTCCTCCTTTCCCTTATAGCATAATAAAAGCAAGCTACATATCTACAGAGATAAAATTACACTTCAGAAGTTCAATTGATTCACGTGTGTGTCTTATTGATCATCTAAAATGACTGTTTTATCTGTGGTTACGCGAGTGTTTAAAGAAGAACAGAAAATAATCAAAGGCATGCCTTGATATTGGATCATGAAAGATAGTTTTTGGTTTCAGAATGTCAAACCTATAAACCTCATTTAGCACAAGTTTCAATAACAGAACCAGGTGTATACTCCCACGTCCTTTGCTTTTCATTATGAAAATAGATCAGCAAATTTTCAATATACATCTCTCACTCACACACACTCTCTCTCTCTCTCTCTCTCTCATTAATTCATTTGAGAATTTCAAAAACACTAAAAGACAGCTTCTCAGATGCAATGTTTATCTTTTTTTCAGAAACATTGTTGACAATATTTCCCTATATTGGTTATGGTCATGTACGACATCACATATTGAAAATGTGCATCCATGACCATAGGCATAAGCTGATCAAGGACTCTAATTGCAATCTGATACAGTAATGGATTTGCCTACAGAAATATTTTGAATAAAAATTGTTTGCAACCATGGTTAAAAATAATTTTTCAGAGCATGCACTTTGGTAATATGAGAATCTGTCAGAATCTCTCAATATATCAACAACTTAAAATTACATCACAATGCTTTACCTTCCATAAGAGATGCAAGAAAAACCACTTTCAGAAATTGGAGTATACCAAAATCATCATTACCCTCTCTGCTTCATTAATTGCAAATTACAAAATGAAAATTCTGGTAAATATATTGGATTGATCACAGACAGCTGTTGGCAGCTATGTTTGTAATTTGATCAATACATTAATCCAACAATAATATTTGTTCTGATATCCTCTCCTCCCTTCACTAATAACTCTTCTCCCCGAATCTATTCTACTGTTACACAAAAAATTTCTTAAGATATTTATGCAAAAATAAATGTTAATCATTTTCAGTGTCACATCTACATTTTACTATAGTCTTCAGACACAGACTCTATCGTAAAAGTTTTTTTTTTTTGCCTCAATATAAAAATTCCTCAAAGCCTCATGCCTAGTCTAACTTTGCCAGTCTATGTCTCTGTCAGGAGCAGCTACAGTAGAGGGCCTATATGGAATGCTCTTTACACAGTCTAATAGTTCAGCTTCTTTTGTGCATTATGCCTAACAAGGGTTCCTGCCTTTCAAACTAGTCTTAGACCATCTGGAGGTCTCTGTAAATTTGAGATGACCAAATTTGCCATGCATGATGGTACAAACTTGGAGGCTACAACTTACAAGGGTATTTCTATTTCTTTTCAGGGGGGCCCCAACAACCTAAGAGCCTATTCAGACTATAGGAAAATTATATGAAACTTGTATAAAGAACATTTTCAGAGAGGTTCATGGCAACACCACAAATTCTTTTGACGGGATTAGTTGGCCCTAGAAAGGGCCCACTCAATCATGGGTGTCGATCCGTAACTGATACCTATTCATCAGGGGGGGGGGGGATGATCTATTCATTCATCCCCCCCTGATGAATAGGTATTACGTAAGGATCGACACCCATGCACTCAATCATCCTCTATATCATTGCATCATTAATAGCAAAAGGAGTTTCCAGACTAGAGACCAACATCATATAAAGAAATATTATTTGAAGAAACTAGTTTGAAAGAGGTCAATGACATAATAGCTGGCCAATCATTATTGCATGCTCAGAATAAGCTCCGCCCAGTTATACAATTTTTGTACGATACAGGGCTCAGACTAGAGCGGGACCCAGATTCTTTGTTGATTTTTTGTAATAATATTAATCATAAAACTCATAACAATAATCAGAGAGGATATGTGCTACTCTATTAAACACCACGGCTACAAATACATGTGGTACCTATAGAGAGCTACTGCACAGTATGAAGCAGCAGGAAGGAAACCTCTTATACCGGTTCCGCCATTACCTTTCGGTAGAAGTGATTCTTATTTGCTTACTCTGTAATAAAAAACCGAGTAGCCATTATTGATCAGAATGTTAACTCAGGTGCAATGGTGACAAATATGTGTGTTAAAAATATTTGGTAGCAGAGACACACGATACAGGCAGCAAGCAAAGCAGCTTTCGTTGAGCCTCGATCCGTTTGCATTTGTATGCTTAGCTCCTTCATTTGTCTATTTAATATGTCTGCATATTTATCTCTTTCTCTGTCGCTTCCTATCCCAACCATGTACTCCCCCACTGTCTGTTTGTCTGTCTGTAAGTCTGTATGTAAGTCTGTCGCTGTCTGTCTGTCTGTCTCTCTCTCTCTCTCTCTCTCTCTCTTTGTTTGCCCTTCTGTTTTCAATTTCTATTTTGTAAATTCCTCATTCTCTCTCTCTCTCTCTCTCTCTCTCTCTCTCTCTCTCTCTCTCTCTCTCTCTCTATGATTGACTACCTCTACATACTGTCATATCTATTAATCATGTAATACTGCTTTCCAATTACAATGTTTTAATTTGATGTTGCCATTTTGAAATGATCTTTTTCATATCATTATTCCTATTTTATAGGTTTTTTGTTACGTACAAAGCTCCTTTCGCCCTTCATTTAGGTAAATATGCTTCTTTAAAAAAAAAAAGTAATGCCTCTATCCTCCCCCTTTATCTCTATCCCCCCCCCCCCCCTCTCTCTCTCTCTCTCTCTCTCTCTCTCTCTCTCTGTCTCTGTCTCCCTCACTCATTTTTCGATGAACACTTGATTTTTACCTTTTGGTTTCTTTCTATTACTAAGCATTTAGGTCACTTTTATAAGAGTAAAACCAAATTTCCCATGTTAATATAAGAAATAATTCTGACTAAATGCATTCTTCTCTTCATTAAGGAATATAGCCTACAATCTATTGTTTCTAAATGATGTAAAATTTAAAAAAAGTGGAAAGCAAAATACATATAGATTATCTGAGTTATGCATGAGTCTCCATGTACCATTGTAAAAGTTTAAAGTAAATAATGAGTAAATTAATGAGTAAATCACTCAAAAAATATTTGTGATACAAGAGATATATAATACCCTTTTCTAACTGCACTCTATCGGAGTCACACCGATGAAAATACCGATTGAATTTTCCTTATGTAAACAAAGGTGAAACCGCAGTTTTCCCCCTGTCGGTTTCTAACTGCTGGTAAAATTCACTCGCTGTGGCGAGCCCTTGCCGGAAGTGAAGAATTATTACGTAATTATTAAGCCCGCGCTCCATCTAGCTAGCATGCAGCTTGTTCAACCATAAGTCAACAAACACAGCTGGTTATGGTAAAGCGCGCGTATACTGCGACCTTTGACCATTTTAATCGCTGTTTTAATCGCCCTTTTCTCCCGAACGTTTTCTAACTGCACGTTTCATCGGTGTCACACCGATAGAATGAGAATTTCTCCTGCTCTAGAGCAGGAGAATTTAATCGCCTATTTCTCTTCTTTTCATCGGCTATTTAATCGCCTTTTTCTCCTCTGTTGCTTTCTAACTGGCACTTTCATCGGATGCGTCCGGATGCATCCGATGAAAATCGGTGCAGTTAGAAAAGGGTATAAGAAACCTGTTTCATAAAAGATAAATGCTGTTACTAATTAGTCACTCTTCCACCTTCTAACCAGTAGTATTGGCTGCTAAGAGGCAAAAATATGTTAACTACCGCAATAGTATTTTACATTGAGTTAACATCCTCCTATCTCCCAGTATATCGTATGATACAAATAAATATATTGCTTCTGACAAAATAAATCATTTTTATAGTGTTGAGTACAAAAATTTGTCCCTATTTTCACAAAGTGACGGTAGTGAATGAAAATCGCATACAATTTTTTCCTCACTACCGTCACTTCGTGAAAACAGGAACGAATTGTCAGCCAAATTAATGATACCATATTGTTACTCTATACAAACAACAATTTCTATCTCATAAATTTAAATTTGGCAAAGTATAGAATACTTTTCAAAATTGTACAAATATAATTGACTGACATATAAAGATATCAAGACGAACAGTAGAATTAGCAAAGGACAAAAAATGTTGAGAAAAATTATACACCATTGCAGGAGAAAGTAAGCAATAGGTGTATATTTTAGTGGATTAGGATGACATCACCAACAAGAGATGAAAGAGCTTGTTGGATCTCAAGATTATACAACGATGTACAACAAATTCAGGTCTGGGCCCCGAGAGACAACATTCACATGACATGTAGTCAAAGGCACAACTCCTCAAGGCGAGACAGATGTATGAAGGAGACAAAAAAATAGCAAACAATGCAGACTTAGGTTGCAAGAGATGGCAGTGTCACAGTGTTACAAAGTCTTGCAGAAGAAGATTGGATTCAGAAAGTTGTTATGACTACCACAATGTTATGAATTTCAAGAGCAGCATCTCTCATGATTATGTTAATGAGATGTTAAATGGTTGTACTCTATGGAGATTTGAATTAGAAGGCTACAACTGACAAAATGTTACCATGTTTGAGAGCAAATGCTCTATGGATAGTATATTAATGAGATTCTGAATGGTTAGGTAATCTTGCAAATGAAGATCTGATTTGAAAAGACGATATTATGTCACAATGCATGAGAGCATGATCTGTCATGAATGTTAATGAGATATTAAACACTTGGATAGTTTTGCAGATGAAGCATTGAACTGGAATGAAGTTGTTACAACTCACAAGATGTTACAATGTTGAAGAGCAGTGGCTCTCAAGAATAACTATGTTAATGAGATGTTAATTAGGTTGATAATCTTGGAGATGAAAACTGATTTGGAAAAAAATTGTTACAACTGACAAAAATTTAGAGTATATTTAGACTGGTGGCTCTAACAGCTTGGTAGTCTTGTAAAAAGTAGAGAAGTACAGGTGTAATATACTTGCTAGGATTAAAACAAAATCAATCTATTCAACCAACTGCTCTAGAGAGATGGAAAATTTTCAGGCATATTTGCATTAAAACTGTATAGAAAGATAAATAAACATATCGTTTGCTGAGAGCTAAAAGGGCAGTATCTAATATATTGTACAGAATTTATATCCTACTTCATCTGAACAGATGTTATCTTTTTCTTTTTGACTCTTCAAACAGGTCATAAAACTTCAGTACAAAATGGGGAATATGATCAATTTGCAAGTTTTTCTCAATTACAATATCTATTTATATGAATAAGCATTTTGAATCTCTAGGTTTTTAAGAGTCCTTTAAATGTCTCCCTTTTTGGTAAACATAAATTATTGTAACTTTTTTTTTTTCTTCACAAAGGGTTAACACTGAAAAGACCTCCCCATAGCAACGTAACCTACATGTACACAAGCAAAATGTAAACGTATCTTCTTAAGCTCACAAAGGGTTGAAGCTGAAAAGAACTCCCGATAGCGAGGTTACCTACACAAGAAAAATGTAAATTTATCTTCTTAAACTCATTTGCAAGATTCGTCCCTATTCTTTTTGGTATGATGCTACAGATCCTCTTACATTACATGGAATTAAAATGGGTCTGATCCTCTTAAAGCATTAACATAAAAGACTCCACGTTTCATAGTCGGAATAGCTATATTCAGCCCCGCAAAATATAATTCCGGCTTTAAACATGTACAAAGTTGAGACGAGAAATAAAGTAAGAGCAGTGTCTCAGCAATGCTGTAGGATACACATGGCGAAGATGGAAATGGTTAGTAACATCGATGTTAAAAGTGGAAATATGCAGAATGGATAAGACCTCAGAGTTAATCTACTTTCACTATCTTCTTAATACTACAGGCTGCAATACAGAAGGCAGTATACAGCTAAATCGTTGTTACAGTCTAAATGATCTTTTCGATCCATACATGTATAAATCCCTTAATTCTAACTCTGTGCACTATTTCAGCAAAAAAAAAATGAATCCATAATCCCCAACTGTTGAATAAAATGAAAATTGAACTTCAAAGAATTTACATTTATTTACATTCATGACTTTTTTGTCGATTTTGGCAAATCAATATTTTTGCCCGGAGATAAATCATTGTATCTATTAAAGAACAAGGAAAATGTTTTTAGACTAATATTATTTGGAATAATCAATTTTTTCTTACAATTTAGAATTCCCAAGATGACAGGAATATTCTAGTCTATCACTGCATTGCTTACCCCAATTATTATTAATCTGTAGCATATAGATACATCATTCGGTAAGATCCAGGACATTTACTCAATACAGAGTTAACGTCCTTCTGGTTCTCAATAGATGACATTGCAGCTTTAAGACTTGCAATGATTCATTCATATGAATTATGCAAGTGAAAGAAGAAGGGATACCATCGAGCCTCATTCACACATAACACAGTAAACCACCTAAAAACTTTGCCTCAGCAAAATAAAACTATTTTATGCCTCAAGGAAATGCAAGAGGGTTTTTTTTGTTTAAAGTAGCAACACCAAACATAAGTCAACTATGCATCCATAGTATACTCAAATGACTGATCTTCATGTATATTGTGTTATGCTTTTAAAATCCCTTTATTTTGCTGTGGCATTTTTTAATAAATAGTTTATGAAGTTGTGTGTGAACGAGGTGTTAGAGTTTAAACAATGAGAGGGTTATCGAGGCAGTTGAGTTGATGAGAATGCAGTCATGAGAAATGAAGTGTCAGTTTGAAGAACCATAAGGTTGAAAGCATTAGAGTTATACATATAACATTGCAAGGTCATCAGTGAACTGATGAAAATGTGACCTGCTACAAGGGTGTTAAGATTTCCAAAGGATTCTCTACTAAAAATTGAGATATAGACATACCAGTTGTCTGCATATGAATATATTTTCCTTTCAAAATTTAAAAAGTCTCCAGAAAGCATCAGATTTTGGGGGGTTGGGTGGTTCAAAATCTGTAACATATGCTTCAATATGTAAATATTTAAAAGGCTTCTGTATTTTCTGTCCATTGCCTTTGTCCTGAGGTATGAATTTTGAATAATACTCTAATTGTGGGTCACTGTATTGAGATGCTTTTCTTGGGAAATGAATAGATCATTTATTTTATCAAAGAATCAAATATCGATTAGAAAATAAACACACATCTATACAAGCTTTGAATTTACAAATTCTCTGATAAACCTAAAGAAAATATTTTCTTTATGAAAATCATGAGAAAGGGAGTAATCACCTCATAAATTCTATAAATAAATTTATTCTTCCTGCGGCAAGTCACATTGAGATTATGCTCTACGAAAAGTGTAAGAAAAGAGACGAGGGCCCAGAACACGTACCATTACCTCTCCTGACCAGCTTAGGCATGCCCAGCTCGATGAAGAAGTTCTCCTCCTTCTCGTATTCCTCATCGTCGACCACAGAGACAGTGATGTATTTCCTGTGAGGGAGATGCAGACAGAGAGGATTTGGAAAAGGTTAATTACCCTATGTTTCTCTTGCAATGTTAATCTGATATGAGGATATTATATGGCTGGATAGATTTACCAATTTTATTTTTACCTAGTGATTTAAGCTCATTAAATACCCTGACTTTAAATCAAATGCAACTGATATTGTTTTGCTCATTAAACACATTGATCGATGTCTATATCTCTAATTTCAATTTCAATTCATGGGAGTGTATTCAGTAGGGGAACTTTAATATCCCATTGATTTTATTTCGTCTAATTAATATTGTACATCATAAAATTATTGACTATCCCCCCCCCCCCAATATGTCTTGCTTTAGCCATCATAATTATTATCATTACTATCATCACACTCATCATTGTAATGCTGATTCTGTCCTTAATTTTTCCAACTATGATTATCTATATATATATACACAACACTTTTTTTTATATCCCAAAGCAGAATTGATAGAATAAAAAAGGTTTCACTGCTTTCTTGCATTCAAATATTAGTTTTCATACGACTTACAACAATATGTGTAATCAATATCTTCAAAAGAGAAGATATCATGAAATATCACTGATCAATTTATTGATAAAAGGAGTTTCATGAATCAGATCAGGTAAATATACATGTACTACGTGTCTCCTATAAATTAAGACAAAAGAATTTCATCAGCATCTTTATCCCACCATTATGGGTAATTCAGTATACCAGTATACATTGAGAACTGTATACAGAACTAAAATATGTGCAAACATTACTCATCGATGTATGTGCAGAAAAACAGGTCAAGCATATTCCCCTTCACTATTTGCAAGGGGAAGGATGATGTATATATCAGAATGGCACTTAATAAATGCTCCAAATATTAATTGTACGACTATGGGCAATTACATCGGTGGATATCGAGTGGGAGAGCAGTCAATAGCGCAACCACATTGTGGCTAAATTCTCCAATTACTTCTTGGAGGTACTTAATTAAAGCTAATAATGATAATAACAATAATAGTAATAATAATAAAAATAGTAATAATAATAATAATAATAGTAGTAATAATAATAATATAGACAAAGTAGACAAAAAAAATTTCAGAAAATATTCCTACAAAAATATGAGCAAAAGTCTTACATCCAATACATTTTGTAGCTTATTAAGCATTATCACGACATCTGTAATGTGCTGGATGCAAGGTTGTCACATGCATATTGCGCAATTTATTAACTAGATCTTTCCATTGATAGCATCTATTTTGTTTTAAATTGGTGGAATTAATATGATAAGTGGTGGATAATTTTGCTTTGAATACTCTAACATCTCATTTGAAGCATTCAAAATGATGTATGTACAAAAAAAAAAAAAAATCATATACATGTTCATATAATTAGCACCTTCACACAATACTCAATTGTGTTTGTTTGATGAGGGCCTAGGGATATTCTGGTCTTGACATTCTCATTAGATTAAAGAATGGATACTGTGCGAACAAAACAAGAAAGTAGTTCTGCCGGCTATAGGCTTCTGGAAAACCAATCTAGAAGATGCAGGATTTCCTATGCGAACACAACTATTGATTGCTTACAAATTCCCAGCAGAAATAATTAGCCTCATCCTGCTATTTTCTAATCCATAAAAAACCCTGCATAATGCACAATACATAATCTCCATACAGGCCAATGTCCAAAGCGTGACAGAAGTCATTGTGTTTTGGATGCATTCATTTTCATTACCATGCTTAGAGTATGCCGTAATAATGCAATAATGATCATTATCTGCAGCCGTCTTAGAGCATTACGCATAAGGATAGTATTAAACCAGTTTGACAGGATTGTGGTATAAAAGCTCATCTCATTAGTTAATTTGCCTAAGGGTAATGAAATTCAAGATGAGAATTATCAGCAGCTAGATACCGGGGTGGTGAATTTTGCAAGGGGCAAGTTAACATGCAAATGACCGACTGAATTTGTTGATATGCCCAAGGTAATGCTGGATTAAACCCATCAGAAATGCACGCTTCGTGAAAAAGAAACAGTCTCCAATTAATCATGTACATGTATATTCATAACACTTCAGATTTTTTGGGGGGTGTATTTGTCAGTTCTTTTTTTATTATTATAGTGTCAAGGGCATTAAAAATGTCTTGGAACACAAATCAATTCATGTAAGATTAGGAAATGGGAGGCTAGAAATTTAAAATGAAATTGAAATCATCTAATGATGTCAACAGAATTCAATAATGACCAAGGAAGAATTCTTGATCATTCATGCGAGGTATACATGTCTTCAAGGCTTCTTGGCAGACAGTCTCCATTACAGTGAAGACAATGTATTGCTGTTGTTTTCTCTCATGTATACGGTAGGTCTATGATGTAGGGCCTATGACCATCAGACCCATGTGGTAGACTCATTATAATTGAAGGTCTATCATCACAAATATGACAAGTCAAAGCTGCATGCATCTCTATGCTTGCCACAGAGTCTCTAGACGTAATATACGCTATATATCTTTAGAGAATCGAGAGCCACAAAAAGAATTCATATTCCTAAACAAGCAAATATGCACTTCAACCCTCAAATAATATGGATTTAATAAAAATCACTTTTATTGATTGTAAGAAGGAAAAATATGTCATTCTATCGATGCCGTTTCTGTACTGTGGTGGTGTAAATCAATAAGATTTTGGTATTGTATCTAATATTTTGGGACAAAGATAGGCTTTCTTCTTGAAATTTAAGTGAATAGAATTTAATCTAATTGGTTTATTAAAAACAATATGACATTAGGCTCAAGACTGACATCAATTATTAATACAAACTAAACAAATTGCATTACATAAATATACAAAAGATATTATAATAATGGTATTAAACATTATAAATCAATATTATATAAGATTTAGAATTGTATATGCATAAGTAAATAAATTCAAAAGAGGTAAAGGGATTTTCGATTCAGGTAGCTTGGTATATTACTTGTATCAAGCTCAAGAACCAAAAAGGACAAAGACTGAGACTTGTCTCACAAATTGCTATTGCTGGTACATGCCTGTAATTAACAGTTGTATCCATGCAGCGTGACATCGTCTTCAAAGTAAACTGTGAATTGACATTAAAACATGTTCCTGAAACTGTAAATTGATGTAAATTACCGTAAATTGCTCATATGAGTAGTAGCGCACACAACGGGCTTTCCCCCTTATTTTGCTTTCATTCAAGCGTACAATAGCACATACATACATCTAGAGCATAAGTTAATTTGTAATATTGTAAAATCCTAATACAGTAATTTGCAAAATGCTACAAACAACACGAGTATGTGCTCATTCAATTAGGAGTGACTGACATGTTTAAAATACCATACATTACAGACCCAACGGAAAAGAACTCGCAATACACTTCTGTTTTCATAGTTAAAATATTTCATGTCCCATTTGTCTTTGCGGCCAGCTCGTAGATACAGATACATGCAAAACACATGGAGTCAGTCACACACACTCCATCTGCATGTGATGCTTCTTAACAAGTTACACATCTCATCAAGGCTACTACTTCATACATTCAGCATTGAACGATTTAACAGTTTTCTCCTTGCTGAGGGAGAGTTAGATTGCACTCAATCAATTAGAGTCCACTTTGACCATCTGACCACCACACCTTATAGAGCCATATAAAGAATTAGGTTAAGAAGGAGAAGCCTTTTAAATGATTAGTGAATTATTAGGAGACTGAGAATGGCCATCAATACTGGTGATGAAATTTGGACCAATTAGTTAGATATTCATGAATAGGAGGAATAATGGTTACAGGAGACCACATCATCACTTAATGTATCCTGTAGAGACTAATTTGCCAAGAGATACAAGCTACATGAGCGAATCTTTCCTGATGATCTTCATACTCAATAGGCCTGTTTTCATCAGCTCAAGTTTGCCAAATTACCCGCTATTTTAACTATTCCGATCACAAATTATCCAGCTAATTTGCGTCTTCATCAGCCCGCAGTTGCAATTAGTGGGATATTTGGTCGAGAAAATATCCTGAGAAATGTTGGTCTTGTTTCCAAAATATCCCGCTATTTCCCAAAGAGCGGGCTAATTTTTGCCCGTTCAAGCTAGTTTGCAATGAGCGTATCGGTCTGGTGAAGACGCAATTTCGAGCTTCGGGATAATATCCCGAGGCAAACTCGAGCTGATGAGGACAGGCATAAGGTCAAGGTTTGGTCTATTATTCATCATACATCCTATACACATTAATTAGCAAAATGCAACAAACAACAGGAGAGAATCCTTCCTAATAAAATAAACTTTCCATGTGAGGGCTAGCTCCATCTTCCTTTAATCTGTGTGATAACTGTCATTAATATTTGATCAGGTATGAAGCACTGGGATCTAAACGAGGTTCTAGAGCCATGTTCACACAACTGCCTAATCTCTGAAAGAAGTGTTTGAAGATTTACAGGGCGAACAAAATTTGGAGTATCCATGCGAAAAGTAGGACATCAGAGGCGTTATTCTCGTAAAGAGTGAAAGAGTTTGTGTGGCAATGGTAGTGTGAATAATGTGGGAAAATTACTACAAGAAATATAGGCTAGTTGGCCGAAGTGAGGTGTCAGTACATGACCTCAGAGATTAAGAGTGGACAGGCATAGTAAAAACTCATGGACTGTGATCAGTGTGTGCACGAATATTCATTCGCAAACATTCCCATCAGGGAATGATGCTAGAATGATGCCAGATTATTTCAATCTATCAGATTACTATTTTCTTGAAGTTAGGTAATCCAGAGTGATGCATAAAGTCTATCTTTTAGAAAAGCAGTATCTGAAAGATTAGAAGTAATCAAATGAGTGATTAAGCACGTATCAACAAAAAGAAGACACCATTTTCAAGAAAAAGTGATGTTAAAGCAATCCATAATAATCCAATACTAATCTAGGTATTATATCTTCTATAAACCTGTTTTCTGGAATGCTAATTACTAATGTGCATTAAAAGAAGAAATTAAAGGGAGACCTCCTTGAAAATAGGTGATTTGTAATGAGAACACAGCTCCGGAGGTGTTTGAAAAGGATGCTGTGAAGCTGCTGCAGTAAGCGCCAATGTGACAAGAATATGCCTGATTGCCTGCGACGACGACT